AACCCTCCTGTTATTCTACATCTGCCCCGGGTATGACCTCATACAGGTGTCTGCATGGACATAGATACACAGAGACATGTACACTTTCTTCATTTGGAGACACCAGGCAACACTGGCAGAAGAAACATGCTGTCCCTTGGTTCTCATTCTGTCACTTACCTACCTAGAGCAGGGAACTGCAGACTGAGTCCAGACCATTCTAGAGCTTCCTAAGTGCGGAAGTGTGGGAAATCCTGTCACTAGCATTCTCTCTCTCTCTCTCTCTCTCTCTCTCTCTCTCTCTCTCTCTCTCTCTCTCTCTCTCTCCCTCTCCCTCTCTCTCTCTTCCCTCCTTCCTTCCCTCCTGCTTTCTTTCTTTTGCTATGTAGCCCCAGTATGTATTATGTAATTCAAGTATGCTTCAAATTCAAACTGGAAGCAATTCTGCCTCAGCCTCCTGCATGCTGGGGTTTCAGGTGTGTGCTTCCACACGATCTGTGTTTGTCTTTTACCTTGGATCCCTCTTCCCAGCCCTTCCGGGGCGAGGGCACGTGGTGGCTCTGGCTCTGGTCCCCTGCTTGCTGGGAGGGTCCACAGCCCATCGCTTCTCCTCTTTAGGCTGTGCCCCAGGTGCTCCTATCTGGTACTTGAGTCCTGGTTTTCCAGTCCGGTCCCAGCACTCCCTCCTCCCGCACCTCCAGGCTGGGCAGGAAGTGCTCGGCATCTGGGCAGTTGCTGGGAACTGTTGCCACAATAAACCGCGTCACCGAAGACCTGGGACCTGAGCAGCGATGGGACTTTTGCAAGGGAAAACTAGAAGATCTGAGAAGCTATGGAAACCCCTACCAGGACGCTAATTGGCGTCTCTCCAGGAGCGAAGGGAGGGAAGAGCTGAGTCTAAGCATCCTCCTGGACCGCGGACACGCCCCCACTCCCTTTACCTGGTCCAGGCATCACAGCCTGGCAGCTTGTGGGTGGCAATGCGACCAGCCAGCAGAAGGCAATGCCACAGGACGCCACTTCATAAAGGATAGTCACACAAGAAACAAACCACACAGGACCACAAATAGCTCTGTGGCTACCAGTGGGTCTTGAAATCATTTTTAACTTGGAAACTCCACTTTAGGAGTGGTTGTTCTGGAGGTGGTATATGTACATAGAGTAGAGAATGAAACAAACATGATGTCACTCGTCAAGAAAGGCAGAGCAGGGTACCACGGGCTGCTCACATGAGCAGCCTAAGTTTCCTTCCTGAACTTCCGAACCCTTTCATCCTATTTTCAACTTTGTTTTCCTTTTTGAGCGCCGAGGAGGTGGAGTCAGAAAGATACTTGAGATGTCTCAACCCTTCGTTTTCAAGGCTGTAAATTTAGGCTCAGAGAAGCTGAGTGACTTTCCCAAGATGTCTGGGGAGCTAGTTATTGAGGGAGCTGTGACCGCACCCCAGGGGGCCTGCTTAGTACCTCTCAAAACAACTGGAAAATGCAGTCCAGGCTTCCTGGAAATGCAAAGCTCCCAGCATCTTCCCAAGGAATTCAGAGTTCAGCACTGTTATAAGTAGTTGGATTATAGCTGTTTTAAAACATCCATTCATTTGTTTTATTGCAGTCCAGGCCGGGTCTCAGCTTACTATGTAACTCAGGATGGCTCTTCATGCCTCTGTTTCAACTGTGTTGGGATTAAAGGGTGTGTAATTATTTTACAATTTTTATTTATTATTATTTTTGGTCTTTTTTGAGAGGGGTCTTCCTATGAAGACTGGTCCTGCCTCCAACTCACAGCTATCCTCCTGTCTCAGCCTCTCAAGTACTGGGATTGCAGGTGTGAGCTGCCACCCAGGGCTTTGTTCGACACTTGAATTTCATTTCATTCTATTGTCCTCTTGCTGCTCAAATGATGCTGCTTGTTGAGTTTTACTAACTTTGAGGAAGATGAATGAAACCCATGTCCAAGTCTTATAATTATGAAACGACGAACTCTGAAGATCAGTGAATGAGGACTTGAAATAAAGCTATTGGCTGTTTGAGGAAGTGCAGCTCATGGAGTAACTAAGTTACTTTGGGAAAGTCTCACCTAGGATAATCCAGTGTTCTTGGGAAAGTTCAATGGGTGTTGATAAAACTGGAGGATAAATGTTGCAGACACCTGTGTGTGTGAGTGTGTGTGTGTGTGTGTGTGTGTGTGTGTGTGTGTGTGTGTGTGTGTGTG